GAAAATTCATGAGCACCCTTCAGGTGTCAGCTCAAATGCTGGCTTCTGTGGGGCCGACTGCGATTTGCTCTCAGAGTCACACCCCTCCTAGGTGTACCCACCTGAACCACGTCATGCCCGCCTCATGGTGCTACTCATTTTATTTTTGTGCCTCCGGTGCTTAGCCTGGTGCCTGACACATGGTCATGATGGCAGCCACCATGTATTGAGCACTTTCTGCAGAAAAGACGAAGACTCACGGATTTTCCGAGCCTTCTTGCTGTTGCCTTACTGTGTCCCAGGCACTCTTTAATCCCTGTAGCATTCCTGTGAGGTTTGAATACTCTTACTGTCCCCATTTAGAGATTAGGAAACGGTAGTTTGGGGGCAGTTAAAGTCATTTGTCCCTAATGGGACTGGAATACAAATGAAGTCTGGCAGCTTCTGGACTCTGCACCCTGAACAGTAGGCACTTGACATTTGCTGGGTGAGCGATGAATGGACAGGTGGCCGTGAGGAGGACAGCTCCTGCCGATGGAAGCACGCAGTGGGGAAGTGTTTGATGAGAGAAAGGACAAGGAGCATTCCAGGGCAGGCCGAGTGCACAACCAAAGCAAGGATGTGTGAAGAAGACAGACTTTGCCTCTTTAGTACTCCATTTGTGGCCCAGCACCTGGTCCCTGGAAAGGCTGATCTCAGCAAATGATGGTTAATGCTCTAGTAGTGATGCCCTGTTCTCTTTTCTTCCCACCCCCTGCAGCCTCAGCTTTCATCATCGCCATGCTCCTGGCCAGCCTCAACAGCTGCTGCAATCCCTGGATCTACATGCTCTTCTCAGGCCACCTCTTCCACGAGCTCATGCAGCGCTTCCTCTGCTGCTCCTGCGGCTACCTGAAGGGCCCCCGGCCAGGAGAGACGAGTGTCAGCAAAAAGAGCAACTCGTCCACCTTTGTCCTGAGCCGGCACAGCTCCAGCCAGAGGAGCTGCTCACAGCCATCCTCCGTGTGACCGACCCAGGGCTGTACTGCCTCCCTCCACTCGGGTTATGTGACATGGACAGTTTGCCCTTTGATGGCTATATTAATATGTGTATAAGGTACCTTTCAGTTTGCAGCCCTCCACACCTTGGGGCAGCTTGAGTGGGATTGGGGGGATTCTGACACGGGATGGGGAAGTGGTCTCTGTGGGGTGATTCAGCCACCAGGCAGTCCCTAGATTTCCTCTGGACCCCCACAGGTACCTCCGCTTCCCTGACTCCACTGCTGCCCCTGGCTGCTGGATGGGTTGTTTATGTTTTCTGGACCTATAACTTCACTCTGGTATCTTTATTTCTCCTTTATTCTGGGATCTTATGAAAAGTAGCAAGTCTAAGATTGGTGATCATTTGAGTGTGGAAGCCTAGTGTCCTGAGCTTGGAGTAAGGTGTGGTAATGGGACCACAGATGGGAGGTGGTGCTCATATCCTCCTGACCTCAGAGTGTGTTTGCCTTTGAGTGAACTAATCCCTGAATCCTTTGTACCAGCTTGTCAGAGGGTAGCCCTAGGAGTAGGGATTACCTTATGAGACCATTTGGTATAGGCAGCCAATTAAAACCTGGATTACAAATGTTTAAGAAGCTAATATTTAGGAAGTTATTAGGAAAGAAAAATAAAAGATGAAAAAACATCTGGATTGGAAAGAAAGAAGTAAAACTCTGCAGACGACATGATTTTGTATATAGAAAATTCTAAGGAATTCACACATACGTACACGTGCACACACAAACCCATTAGAACAAATAAATGAATTCGGCAAAGATGCAGAGTACAAAGCTCAAGATACAAAAATCAGTTGTATTTTTTTTATACTAGCAATGAACAATATGAACATGAAATTAAGAAATAATTTCACTTATAATAGTATTGGAAAGAATAAACTAGGAATCAATTTAACAAAAGAAGCAAAAGACTTATACCCTGAAAACTATAAAATATCATTGAAAGAAACTGAAGAAGATGTAAATAAATGGAGAGACATCCTGTGTTCGTGGGTCAGAGATCCATGAATATTATTAAGATGACAATGCTTTCCAAATGGGTCTACAGATTCAGTGCCATCTCTATTAGAATCCTAGCTGACTTCTTTGCACAAGTTGATAAACTTATTCTAAAATTCATATGGAAATGCAGGGGACCCAGAAGAGTCAAATAAACCTTGAAAAAGAAAAACACAGTTGGTGGACTCACACTTCCTGCTTTCGAAATTTTGCTACAAAGCTATAGTAATCAGAAGAGTATGATACTGGCAAAAGGATAGACATATAGACCAATGGAATAGAATAGAGAGGACAGATAGAAAGTCTTACATTTATGGCCAGTTGATTTTGACAGGTATGACAAGAGAATTCAATAAGGATGATAGTCTTTTCAACAAATGGTTCTGGGACAATTGAGTATCCACATGTAAGTGAATGAAGTTGGACTCCTATTTCACACTCTATATAAAAATTAACTCAAAGTGCATCAAAGATTTAAAGATAAGAGCTAAAACCATAAAACTCTTAGAAGAAAACATAGCCATTAATCTTTGTGACCTTGGATTAGGCAACAGGTTCTCAAATATGACACCCCAAAGCACAAGCAGAAGAAAAACAGATAAACCGTACCTCATAAAAATAGGGTACAAATCTTTTGTTTTTCAAAGGACACTATCAAGAAAGTGAAAAGACAACTCACGGAATGAGAGAAAATATTTGAGTAAATGATGAATAGACATATTTTCATATCTTCTCTAAAGAAAATATACAGATGGCCAATAAGCACATAAAAAGATGCTCAATATTATTATTCATTAATGAAATAAGGATCAAAACCACAGTGAAATACCACTTCATACCCACTAAGATGGCTAGAATAAAAAAGATGGGCAATAACAGGATCAGCAATGATAATATGCCCACCATGCTCTAGTAGAGGCACAAGTGATGCCTTGTGGCTGTGGATGTTGTGTTTTATTTAGAATGGCAATTCACCAAGGGTCTCAAAGGCTTTACTTACCTGATAAACATGTTCTCCGAAGTCTTCTCAGCCTTGAGGTAGGACGTGACCGTGAAGGTATGAAAGATATCCAAGAAATACCTTTAAGTTGTTAAATATAGAATATTATGGATCAGAGGTTTTTCAACTGGGAATGGCCAGCTCAATGGCACTCTGCGACACGTTTAAAATTTTTTTTGTTTCCACACATATTTTTGAACTCACCATGACAGAGCAAGAGCACTTCCCAAAAGTCACAGATCCACTTTCTCCATGTACACTTTCCTCTTCTCCCTCCACAATGCAGTATTCGCACATGTGCACAAACACATACACATGTGCACACACATGCACGCACACAGAATGAGCTAGCAGGGTCTAGATGTTCAGGGAGAAGACAGGCATGTGCCCAAACACCAATGTTCAAAGTCTCAGCATTTAGTTCAAGATCAGCATTACTAACTGGAGACTAAACACATTATCATCTTTGGACCCAGAGGCATTACACAGTGTTGCTGTGACATGCACTTAGAGTGTCAACACCAGCCAGTCTGCGCTCTTTGGGAAACCAACAGGATTCTGATTTGGGGTCTCAATGCCCACATACAGACCACTCTGGCACTCTGGGTACAGATACAGTGATGGTGTGATCTGTTGGCATTTGAGCTTCTCTACCCCAATCTCTGCTGCTCCAGGGAATTTGCCATCCCAGAAGCCAGCAGAAGTCACAGGGAATCAAAGAGACAGTGACTCACAGTAGATTTTTTTTCTGACTGGGCACACAGCCTTCCTGAGAACCCTGGAGTTGCAAGGTTCTTGGGCACTAGAACTCACTGGGACACTTTCCTCATTCTCCTTCTGTGAAAGCTCTGGACACACCCTTGGATCTTACTATGGTGCAAGAGTCTATGTTTTATAGCACATCAGTGACATTTAATTTCAGCAGCACCCCTGGCTTTACATCTTTCTTCTCCAAGGCTTGTCCTGGAATATTTTCATTTTTTTTGCGGGGTCCAGAACTCAACCTCGAGCTCAGTCGTTTCCTTCTTCCTGTTTACAAACCTAACATGTGACTGGAGGTACCAATAAATTGGAGCATGCAGATTTTATTCTGGAATGTTTTATTGTTCTGAAGGTCAAAGTGAAATATGAACACTTGAAGACTCTGAGCCTTATTTCTTTGTGCCCTGGGAAAAAGTCTGTCACACAATTTTAGTACAGGTCTATAGGTTTAGACTGCAGGTGGCTGGCTACCTTTTATGAAGATCCTGGTTTCAAAGTGCTTAACCTTTTTGCATTTAATTGAAATGAAAGACCACTTAATGCAACATGTGAATTCCTTGATTTTATTCTACTGTGGTGACTTTCTGTGGTACCCTCATGTACTGTGCCAACTGGTGAATGGTGTGGTCAATAATAAGATGTCTGCTTCATTAGCTGCTTTATAAAAGGTACACTTAATAAATATTTTATTTTCATGCATTGCTTTGCCCTCTTACTCCCCCTCAAGAACAGTGACCATTTTTCAAGCTCACTCCCAATTTTTTCTCACTCCCATTTTTCAAGCTCACTCCCAATATCTGGTGCTTGCAGACTTGAATTCCCTTGTGGGGCTGCAGACTTACCTCCCTCATTATGACAGAGGTACATCTGGGCTGTGGCAAGGGGTGGGCTGGGGGGTGGTACGTGGTCTCATTGTCCTCTGTCACAATACTGTTGTTTGTCAGAATTCTGTCAGAAGATGCTCTAAATCCCAGGAAAAGATCTCTTGTATGATGTGGCCACACTTACTGTGTGCCACAGTCTAACTCCGGAGATAATAGAATTCCAGATTGTTACCTTGAAGGGACCCTAACACCTGTTTCTTCAAATGGGATATAGGGGCCGCTTGTGAAATCAGATGTGTTTGTGTTCATTCCAGGGTGCCACTACTGAATCACACTCTGGTGCTGGGCCCCCAAACCTGCATTTTAGGCAAGAGCCCCTGAGGACCCGGATGTAGCCTGCGAGAGGGAGCCGAGCTCCACCTCCCGCATCTGGCCCATTCGCATCAGGCCTCCAGTGTGCTGTTCTGTGTCCGACTTCTCAAGAGGATTCCTGAAAGGAACAGAACTCCTCAGCTATCTATGCATCTAAATGTGTGTTCTTTTTCCAGTTCTGTGAATTTCACGGGTAATTGAGCATCTACCATACTCTGCCCTCAATGAGAGTGAGCTTGAAAAATTGGGAGTCTGGTCAAATCAGGTTTTAGCAAATGCCAAGATGGTGAAAAAATCTCCGTACGACCCAAGATTCCAAGTCTGACGCTGATGGCCTAATGCTTTCAAGAGGTGTTTGGGAGGACAGGCCCTTTGAGGAGGATGTCGTTAATAATGGCTTTAGTCCTTTTCATCAGGAAGAGCCTGGGCTTGCCGAGTCTACTCAATAATGTGAAGAGCCCTGGGGTGGAGCAAATAGCAGTGAGCCGGGAACACAGCGCTGATGCTGGCTAGCTGTGCACCTTTTGGCCAAGTCTGCTGACCTCTCTGGGCTATAACTTTCTCATCATGAAAAAACTCAGGGATGGATGATGAAGTGTGTAGGTGCCAAATATACTGATATCTACAGGTTATTTAAAGATGCAATTGGTAGATGGATCGAAATGTGGCAAAGCTGGAGCGGTAAAACATTCACTGTGGAGCCTAGATAGGGGGTACATAGTTGTTCACAGCAAACCCATTCCACTTTCCCCTGTGTTTGAAATTTTCATAAGATCCTAGTAAGAACAAAAATGGGTAAAACGTTAGAGCTGAAATGGACATTGGAGATTATTTTGTGGTTAATAAAACTGAGGCTCGAGAAGGCAACTAGGAGGAGAGGCAGGACTAGAATGAGGCTGCCTGTGCTCTGTCTCCTGACGCACATGTGGCCCATCCTATTGCATTTCCCTTTGAGCCCCTGGGCTCATGCCGGGCACCATGAGGTAATGCCTCTGAAAACCTGAAAGTGTTGTGGAACCTTAGTTTTCTGAGATATAAAGAGGTGTTGCATGACAAAAGAAAAGTAGAATAGGATTGGGTGATCTTGGGATACTGGCCTAAACAGGTTTCTTTACTGTAAGACTTCTCGGAGTCTTTAATGTGAATGTCTATTGAAAATCTTTAAAAGAATATAGCATTTTCCAAACAAATTCAACCACAAGAGCCATCTTTTCTTTTTTGTAAAGACTAAATTCTGGATAACACAGTTATCCCTAAAGAACATAAGAATGCTGGGGGGATTTTTAGGGGTGGGGAGGGGTGAGACATGCCCTTCCTATAGCTTCTTACTTACGTTGTGAGTCCAACACATGCACACATTGGATCTTAGCCCTCGTCACATCTCTTAGGGCTGAAGGTGACTCTATGTCAAGTGGCAATGCAGGGGGCTCGGTATTTGGGGAATTCCATGGGAGTTCCCAAGAGATTCGAATCCAGGCCCTACCCTCAGGGGTGCCAGAGAGAGTCTCCTGTCCCTTCCAGCCCAAGGGCCATTTTCTTTTGTTGGTGATCATTAGCTGGCCCTGGGGCAACAGAAGTCAGTGGGAAATGATATCCTAAGGCACACGAGGTAGCAAAGACCCAGCTAACAAGAAGAATCCCAAGAGAAACCAAATTCTGTTCCAGGTCTTGGATTTGGCCAAGAAGAGGGCCAACCAACTTGCTCCACTTCTGTTTCTCAGGGTAGCAAAATATATTTTTGGAGCTGATCAGGACACACATGTACCGATGGACACACAAAGCACAGCATTCTCTGAATGCAGCCAAAACCCTTTATTAGAGCCACCCTCCCAAAGCCGACAGTCACTGGTGGCTTTCCTGGGTGGTGCATGTAGACAGGTCAATCCTGGGTGGGAACTGAGTGCTGGTTTGTGCTGTTACAGTACACGTGAACGCAAAGACTTGAGTAGCTGCCTCTTAGCAAATGTTCTTCCCTCGCACACGGTCCCGGAGGCATCGTGCCGAGGCAGGGGAAGAGCGAAGGGCCACTGTGCTTCTGTCGTAGGGCTGTCTTTCTGGCTTCCCTAAATTCTGTGCTTCTGTCTTGGGGTGAAATAGCAGTCCCTATGGAGAAAGAGCTCACCAGCAGCCCCTGTGGAGCAGTACCGTGGGGCAAGCCTGGCCTGACTCCCCCTGCCCGGCTATCCCCTTTGACTCTACCCGGCTTTAGACTTCCTTCCGCAGCATCACCTTGATGCTGCTGCACATTTGGCCTAGGGCAGCGAAGAGCGGGTTGCAGAAGGTGCGGATGCAGAGTGAGTAGATGTGACTGATGCACTGGATCTCAATCAGGTAGCTCTTAATGCACGGCACCACCGCCCAGATGTGGCAGAAAGAGATGCAGGCAAACAGGAAGCCCCAGAGCAGGGCCAGCGGGACGCCCAGCAGTGTGGACAGCAGGCGGTAGCACCAGTACTTGGAGACGGTGAAGGTGGTGTAGCTCACCTTCCACACGCCGTCGAAGCTATAGGTGCCCACAGGCTCCGCAATCACGTCCTCAAAATCCACCTGCAGGGGCGGGAAAGGGATCCCCTCAATCACAGCATCTACCTGCTTCTCAACCTTTAGCATGTGGGCCTCAGAACCCCTGTAGGACGCCAAAACTGGATGGCTGGGCCTCACCCCTGACTCCGCAGGACCAGGCGGAGGCTTGACCCTTCACCTTACAGGTGGGTAAGTGGGCCTGAGGAGCTGAAGGATTTGCTTCAAGCCAATGGTAAGTCAGAGGCAAGGCCTAGTGCCACGACTCTCAGATTCTGTTATTTTATGATCCTAGGGATTTCGACAGTCATAGTCACCCTGAAAAGATTTACAGGCAAAGGTTCCTGCCATCTTAAAGCTTGCGGCAGGCAGTTGTACCGTGGTGATAAGCGCTTGGTAAGGGAAGGACGGGGGCTGTGTGCTCCTGCAGGGGAATATTGAACTCAGCTTGGGGGAAAGGAAGGCTTCCTGGAGGAAGAGACATCTAGCTAGGTTGATACCTGAAGGTAGCCAGATGGAGGGAGAGGTTGTGGGCTGGAAAAGAGTGTTCGGGGCAGAAGGAGCAGTAACTGCTAGGAGTTGGTGGGACAGTGTGCAGAGTGAGTAGATGTGACTGATGCGCTCTCAGGAAGATGCAAGTGCTTCCAGAAGGCTGAGTGCAAGCCCAGTGGCTGAAGTGAAGCTGGAGAGTCAAGCAGGACAAGCATCCATGTAGTGAGCAGACTCTGAAGGCTTTTGTGCAGAGAGCAGCTTGTTCTGGTGACTGCGATTGGGGCGGTGGTGAGGATATGTGTGGGGACCAGCTGGGAGCTGTTGCAATAATCCAGGCAAGACCTGATGGTGGTCTGGTTTGGGGTGATGGCAATGAGTTAGAGAGAGATGCATAGGTCTAAGAGCTATTTTAAGATCTGGTACGTGGCAAACTGAGGGCCACGCCATCCTGGCTAGTAAAGGAGCCTGGTGTCTGAGTGTGGCCGAGCTGGCCTGAAGCACCTTGTGGAAGGCAGAGTTGTTTTCCTTGACCTAGTCCTGCAGGGACTTGAGATTTCTTCCCTCCATTGCCCAAAACGTCCCTCCTTTGCAGCTGGAAAGAACGTGGACGCTCAGAGAATCCGATTCATGTATCCCGCTGAAATGGTGACTGAGGCCCCATTTGGGAAGTAGGAAACTAATCAGTAGACTTAAAATAAAAAAAAAAAAAAGGATTACTCCCAGCCAAGTCACTTAACTAACCTTTCCTGAGTCCCTGCTATGCTTTAAGCACTGTTATAGCTGCTTTCTCAAATGTGATGTCATTTAGCATCACAAGCCTTAGCTGTCTTGTCTGTAAAATGTGGGTAGTGACCATCTTTGGTGTTCTACGGCTATTTTTAAAAAGTTGGTTGAATGAATGCACAGACTAATCAGATGAATGGGAGGCCTACCCCCATGGGGAGCTGGTGGGGCCAGAGCTCAAACTTGTAGTTTTCCAGGGTGAGCCCCTTCCCCATTTTTGTTGGGGGCGGGGGAGGGGAGTCTCTCCTCTGTGCACAACATTATTATTAAAATTACTTTTCATTTTAAAACAACATAGCCATGTTACAGAAAATTAAGGGAACAGCAAAAAGAAAATGGAAGCATCTCCAATTTGTATTTTTCTAGTACTAAAAATACTGTTTTTGTGCTTTTCTTTCCAATGTAACTTTTTGGGGGGGAGGTGGTAGACATAACCATGTTGTCCAGTCAAGGCTGAATCCTGTTTTCCTCACACGACTAGCTTCTGCGCCATGCCTCAGACCCCTGGATCCCGCTGCGGGTGGCTCAGAATGAGGCCCCACCTAGGGTGGTTTGTTAATGTAGCAAAGTTCACCGGCTGAACTGTCAGGCAATGATGAAAAGCTGACTCAGGGTGTCAAAGAGCCTGTCAGGACCCTGCTGTAGCTCTCAGCTTCTGGCTTTCTCTGCTGGGGGTTCAGTGGTGATCATTTAACTCTCATAAGGCCCCCCAGATGGGGAAGAATATGAATATGGTCCTCACCTCTTTGGAAAGATGGTACTTCTTTCTGAAGGGCTTCTAGGAAGTGATGGCTGGCTGGGAATTTGGGGGACCATGGGGTTTGGAGGCAGAGATGGAAAAGTGGCGTGATAGCTATTTGAAAAAGAAGGCCCAAGTTGGTTGGGGACTGTCTAATGGCTTTGAAGAGTGGATAAAAAGGGCTGGCATCTTCTACATCTGGTTTATATGGGGCAAAACTTCAGAGTTGCTGCATCTTGCGAGAACTTTCAAACCCAAGAAGCCGGGAAATATAGGCCCAGGAGATCATTTCAACCTTGACCTGGGTACATCCACCATAATTACTGAGGTTCAGTCAAACTCCTGGGGCCCTGAACCTGCCTCTTGAAGTGTTCTGATCTCTTCAGCCTGCCCCTCCTCCATCGTGGCCAATGCCCCCACCTATGACTGATGTGTCTCGGCACCAGGCTGGCTTCTGGATCGTCCTGCAGCCCCAGGAACTTTGCCAGGAGCAGGAGGCAGTTGAGCAGAGATGAGCCTTCCTGCCACTGCGGCAGCAGGCACTCCCTCCTTCCTTCCCTTCCCACTGAGCACCTGTGGCCTCTCCCGCCTTTCTGTAGCTGTTCCTTAGGAGAATGCCTCCACACTCACAGATCACCCAGCCCTGCCTAGTCACCTTTCTGGTGGGAAGACAGGCCCAGAGGAGGGAGGCAGGGCCCAGACCGAATCTAGGCATCCTGATTCTAATCTAAGCTCTTCGCACTTCCCCAGTCAGGGTCAGACCCAGAGGTAAGTGCTGGCTGTCGGAGAGTGACTGCCTGCTCTGAGGTCTGGTCCTTGTCAGCCAGAGACCTGCCCTAAAGCAGGGACCCTAGCCCCTTCTTTCCAGCCACTTACCCTGCTGTCAGCAGTCAGCAATTTCCCCAGCTCCTCTGCAGCCCAGCCTGCTTTGTTCATCTATCCCAGCATATTCCTTCATTCAACACATTTGATTACTCCTGTCTGGCCTCTAAGAAGCAACAGAGTGGAAAAGAGCCCTGACTCACGTCACACAGCTATGGTTTGAGTCCAGCTCTGCTGCTTTTTGGCTCTGTGACCTTCAGCAAGTGACTTAGCTTTTCTATGTCGCATTTTCCTAGACTTTTCTCATAAAGTTTGTCAGAGGATTAAATAAGACATGTAAATACCCAGGTTGTTGCCTAGCACAGAACACCTGACTAAGAACTGTTAGCTGTTGGTGATAGTGCTTGCTACAGAGTGCTTTCTTCAACAGGAAGCTGGAGTCCCAAAGGTGGGTTTGCACACCATGCTGTTGCTGACCATGAGTGACTTTGGCAGATAACCTCTTTGAGCTTCATTTCCTCATCTGTAAAATGAGTTTGCAACTTCTTACAACCTTGTTATGAGGAATAGAAATAATTTTTCATCCAGCCATCATCCATCCATCCATTTATCCATCCATCCATTCATCCATCCATCCTTGGATTCACCCATCTATTCACACTGACTCATCCATCCATCCACCCATCCATCGATTCATCCAGACAAGTATTTATTCAGCATCCGCTTTGTGCTAGGCATACTACCTTTTGGGCAATGCTTAATATCTGGCAGGTGGTAGGTGCTCAGTGATGATAATTATTTGTTAAATTGCTCTGAAGTTCTTATGAAAATATATCTCAGAAAATCTGCTGACACCTCAGATCGTAGGTAAAATAATTCTCCAGCCTACCTTACCATAGATGTGTGTGTGTGCACGCATCCCACAGCCCAAGCTGGAAAGATGGATAGAGTCCTCTTTTCCCTCATTTTCTGTTTACAGAAATAATCCCTCCCCCAAAGATCTCTCTGTTATGTCTTTTAATTATCGTTTATTGCAGAAGCCATTGGCGCTGACATTTGCATTATTTCCAATAATTGCCTTTGGGTACTATGCATGGGGCAACTGCTCCGTTTTCTGAATCAGAAAATGAGCCCTCGGAGGGATGGGCTGTCCTGGGAGGAGGCAGCTGTTCCCCTAACTTGGATTAAGAATGGAGACAGCTTTGGTCATAGAGCGCTAGTTTGGGGAGGTATTTATAAGACCCAGCTTAGACAGCTCTAGGCAATCGTGCCAGTGTATCAGAAGCACAGAGTGACTTCATTTCTTAATTCGTTTCCAGAAGTGGGAGGGGAGATAGCTTTTTCAGGGAGGGTGGTGGGGTCAGGGCTAGATCCTTTGGCAGAGCCTCAGGGCTCGTGTACAGCTGGAGGGAGGGGCTGGGTTTGGGAGCAGGAGAGTGGCTGCTCATTCAGTTGGTGTCCCCTTCTCTGGCATACTTATTTTTGGAACAGCGAGAGAGCCAGTTGATTAATCAGAACCAGCCAGTGCAGCCCCTGCAGTCTCCAAGAGGGCAGGAACTGTGCAGGATAGCAGGGCCTGGAGGATGTGGGAGAGGCCAGCAGCCACCCCCCTGTCAAAAATACCTCCCCCAGATTCCTGCATGACTCAGTCCTTGAGCATCCAGGGCCCTGGACTATTCAGATAGGGTATCTGTGGTGGGGGAAACAGCTCTGGGCAGAAGGACAGACATCTGGTTCCAGTTTCCACTAGGCCACTGAGTTACGACTGTGTGATTTTGGACATGATTCCCCTCTCTGGGCCTCTGGGATTTTTTTCATTTTTATTTTCGGTTTTAACTCTACACCTAGAAGGACTGGGCCAAGATTCCTAGGGACACGTAGTTAGTTTTAAATCCAGAAGACCTAAGGGGATGGCTTAGCTTTGCTGGGTCTTAGTTTTCCTGTTCATTACCTTGCAACTTAAAGGGTGGTTCATGGTCCGTGCACCTTCCACAAGGCAGTTGCAGAAGTTGAGAGTAAGCATTTAAAAATAGTCACAGCAATTTGACCCAGTAATTTTATGTCTATTGACTTTAATAATAATGAAAATTGGAGCTTACACTGTAAATGCCTGTTTTTCATTTGATTTCTTTAGTAACTGATTTTTATTAAATTTAGAAAAATATTGCTACACAGATTAGAATAATAATAA